CTTTCTGAGTACATAGCATTTATTGTAGTTGTCTGTCTGTCTCCCTCTTTCTCATGATAGGGGGAAGACCTCTGCTATACAATTCTTAATCTTTCTTAAAGTCACAAAAATTTAATATTGTATTTTACTTTTTCAAGACCCTTTTCATTTCTACTGATTGCTCTTCTTCCTCTGTGTCATTTAGCAATGAGCTTTGATACTTTTGGTACTAGATATTTGTTGGAAACATCAGATGATAATCTGACACATTGTGACATCTAGGTGTATTTTCAACAACTTTGTATTTATAATCTCCATGGTGTATTTTTTTTAAACTAATCTGTTTTTTCCTTCTAGGGCATTTTCTGTTGGCAGCTGCGCTCAGAAAATAGCGCCCAATGCAGGGCAGCCGGAAGGCCCCGAACTTCCTAATGACAAATCATCCCACACCACTAAACTACATGCTAATTGCGCCTTGGCATAAGGACCAATGAGACCCACCAAATGGTTATGCTAATAAGGCATATGGAGCCACACCAACCAGGTCAGAGCATGAGAACTATATAAGCAAGCCTCTCCTTCCCCTCTGGGTCCTGCCCAACTCATTTGTTTCACAAAGAGCTGAAGAATAAAGCTTTCTGCAGAAGAATCCTGCTGTTGTTGCGTGCTGTTCTTGCCGGCGAGGACGGGGCGCGCGACAATTTTCTCCTTGAGTAAGATACTTTGACAAATTCATAGATGCATTCAGAGAATTTGAACTGAGTTTTAAATGGTTTCAAGGACCTTCTGATTTTCAGAATTTCCATACCTGAAAAGTTTTGTACTTGCAAAGAACCTACAGAGTTTACGATTTAAAATACTCCTGAAATAAATAGTCAGTTCCCCTTAGTAGGTTAGTTGTTGAATTTAAATTTGTTTTGCATTTGCCTTTCTGTTTTCCCTATGCCAAATAAAAGCACAACACCCTAATAGGTGTTCAGAGAGTTATTTATCAGAATCTGGTTACTCCTTCCACCCTGACCCCCAGTCCTTGCCTTCATCATCTCTGGCCTGGATTGTTTCAAAAGCCTCTCAGGTGGTTGGCCAACCTGGCACTCTATCCCCTATCATCTTTCTCTACCAGCAGCCGAATGATCCTGTCACAACATAAATCAGGTCATGTCACTCCTTGGCCCTTGACTAGTTTCCCATCTCACCCAGAGTGAAAGCCAAAGTCCTTACAATAGCCTTCAAGGCACAGCATAATCTGGCTCTTCTTCCTCTCTGACCTCACCTCTCCTTCTCCCTCTCTGTACTCCAAGGACACTAACTCTTTGCTATTCTTTAAATATGCCAAGATGTCCCACCTCAAGACTTGTGCTGTCTTTGTTTGGAATGCTTTCCCCTGTTAAAAAGAGATATAGGTCCAACATGGTGTCATTTCTGCTAGGCCAAATCACCAAACCAAAGTCATCAAACCAAATACATAACCTAATTGCAGTTTTAACATCCTGGGAAATGGAGTCAGTTAGGAATTTTCCAGTCAGCATTGAAAAGATAATGCCACATGTGTCCTTTCCATCCCCCCAAAGGAAGATGAAATAGTCCACCTAATAAGACCCTTTTGTCTCCAAATGAAGGTGACCTCACCTGAAATAATCCCTTTTCTGTTTATGATTTCCTTGTACTGCCTTTAAAAACTTCTCCCTTTCTGTAGCTCTTTGGTGCATCTCTCTATTTGCTGGGGGATATTACCCAATTCATGAATTGCTTAAAAAAGCCAATTAGATCTTTAAACTTGCTTGATTGAATTTTGTTTTTTAACATCCCAGATATGTCTGCATGGTACCTCTTTCAACTCTTTGCTTAAAATGTCAGCCTCTCAAAGAGGCCTTCACCACCCTGCCCCCAAATAATCTCTCTTCCTTTCCCCTAACATTTTTTTGTTGATATAGCATTTACCATCATCTGACATATTTTAATGGGTGTATTATTTATTACCTGCACACCCAAATAAATTCCGTGAAAAGCTTATTGAACAGTGCCACACAAAGAAGGCTCTACAAGAAAAAAAATTTGAATGAATTAACAGCAGTTAATATGAGAAATGAGAAATGTTTACTAAACAAAGTAACACACTGGGATGGATGTTGACTAAGAATCTGTGGTTACAGTGGAATCTTTCAGAAGCTCAGTAGAATCTAGGAGGGCAGGGCCCACTAGGGAATGCAAATTTTTTGGTTTGTGTGGCTCACCTCCCTTTTCAGGTTCTGGCTTCAGCTTCAGGTCCTGTGTCCAAGATAAGGAAGGAACTGGGCTCATGCTTATTTTCATTTATTTAGCTAAATGAAGTGGAGGCCGCAGCATTGCATTTGACCTGATGATCTCAAAGTACTTGATACTATTCAGTTAGCTTTTCCATTCTTCAATCTGTCATAAATTTTCAATAGGAAATCTTGTGTGACTTTTACAGAACTAAGAATATGTATCTCCCTCTTTCCTTTATTTCTTGTCATTCTTTCTTGATTCATAAATCCCTTTCCTAAAGATCTACTTCACTGGAGTTTCTAGGGAGCTTTTTGTTGGGTTCTAAATACCAAATATAACAGTTTTATTTCAAGAAAGAAATAGAAGTTGAAAAACCAGC